ATAAGAAAAATTTGATTGAAGAAAAATATAAATCTTGAAATATATTAAAAGCTAAAATAAACTAAAATATAAATATAAATTTATAGAGTAGAGAAGCAATATTAGTAAAGATAAGACGTTAACTAGGAGAGAAAGAAAAAGAATGAACGTCATAGTAATAGGTCTATTTTAAGCTTTCTCACCTATAGAACTGTTAATTATTACCAAGCTGTTTGCAGATAAATTATTACCATCAGTTTTCAGTTAATAATTGCCAACATAAAGTATCCAGTTGTATCTACCGATTGTGAATCCATATTTACATTATGTCCTTTAAATTATATCTTTTACATTCAGACCCTTAATATACATAATAAATATTTGATCCTTATGATATTTTCTCATAAATATAAACGAGAACAAAACATAAGTAGTTATTATTAATTTATGAGAAAATTTTTATTGAAGACAAATACAAATTTTGAAATCTTTAAATATTTTAAAAGCTAAAATAAATTGAAATATAAATATAAATTTATAGAGTAGAGAGGCAATATCAGTAAAGATAAAACGTTGATAAGGAGAGAGAGAGAAAAAATGTACGACAGCGTCATAATAATGAGTCTATTTTAAGCTCTCACCTACAAAATAGTTAATTATTACCAAGTAGCTGTTTTCTGAAAAATTATTACTAGCCGTTTCAATTAATTATTACCAATATAACACATCCGGTTTTATCTACTAATTGTGAATCCACATTTACATTATATCAAAATATGAGAAAATTATGATTGAAGATAAATATAATTCTTAAAATCTTAAAATATATCAAAAGTGAAAATAAATTGAAATATAAATATAAATTTATAGAGTAAGAGAAGCAATATAAAGATAAAACGTTAACAATAGGAAAAAACTAGCCGTTTATGTGCGCATTTGCGCGCGTCGTAGTGAGAGATAATTTTGTGTTGTAGTAAAAGTTGATAATTTTTGTCATAAATAAAGCAATTTAAATTAACTGCACATAAATGACATTGTCATAATTGAAATATATATTTATGACATATTAAAATGAACAACAAATAATTACATCAATAATTCTATGGCAAGGGATGTACAAAATTTAATATTTGTACCTATAATTTATTGTAAGTAATAAAAAAATATTTACAATAACCACATATTTACAATATGAGATTCATAATTTACAATATTAAATATCATTATGTATAGAGCAAATCAATAAGGTAGAAGTAGTACATAAATTAAACCTATGAATAAATAATAGATAAAGCAAGAGCCCGTTTGGTTAGAGGATTCGTTCTCTGATTCGAATCATGGTTCATAGATCGCTACAATATTTTATCTCACAAAAAACACACGTAAATCAAAAATGGTTCTAATCTCATGGTTTTAATCCATTAACAAAACGGGCTCTAGATCGCTACAATATTTTATCTCACAAAAAACACACGTAAATAAAAAATGGTTCTAATCTCATGGTTTTAATCCATTAACAAAACGGGCTCTAATTTATGCTTGTATTCGCATGTCTTCAACTATCTGGTCCATTTATAAACAAGTAGGCAGAAAATTTCTCATGATAAAAGCTTATTATGTCAATTTCATAAAGAGGAAGGCCCAAACACAAACTAATGGTGAGATATAAGTGAACAAATAAGTAATAAGAAAGATTCAATGGCAAGAAGTTGATAAATTATGAATCTGATAATGCTTTTACATACTAATTGTGGCTCAGATATTAACTGTTGTCAGCAAATGCATGATAAATCAACTGACTTGTATTTTTATGGCCATTTTATGGCTGTCTATCAGCGGCAACTGCATAAAGGCACAAAAATTAGTCAGAGGTTATATTTGCCATGCAGATTATGACATGTGTGACACAAAATAAAGGGTCGAAGTAAAGTATAAATCTGTCCAAAAACTACGTAGTGAATTAAAAGAGAAGAGAAACAACAACATTAAAAGGACAATGAGGCTGGGTAGAAACTGGTCACACAATGGATAGTAAATGGCGCATGTGTCAACAGTGTATAATGGGTCTACCTTTTGTCCAAGTAAAATAGAAGAAGCAGGTACAGTTAACATCAAATAGCCAATTAATACTCAGATTCCATTTGAGTCAAGGTCATTTGGACGGCTGAGGCTAAAAACAATGGGAAAAACAAAAGCATATAGAATAAAAACAGATAGGGAAAACGTAGGCCAAGGGGAAAACCCAAAAGCCTTTGTAAAGCAAAGCAAAAAGAAACATGAAAATAAATGGTACAGGTAAAAGGAGGAGAAAAAGGAAAATGATGTGGTCCAAATAGAGGACTTAAAAGAGCAAAAAGAGATAGGATAAGAAGACATATTAAATAGAGGAATAGATTTTGAATCAAATACTTAAAACAAAACTACTAAAAGCCAAAAATTAAGAAATGAAAGAGCAATAATGATGTTGTTTATGTGTTGAAAATTAAAGTTCATGAAATCATGAAAGAAATAGAATGGAAAACCCCAATGAAGAAAAACATAAAAAATGTGAATCCAACTGAAATAGGCATCTCAAATGCCAGAGCCAACATTTAAATTGTTTTAGTAAAAAATATACAAAAAATCAAAATTCAAATAGGAAGAGTTTATTCATAGAAATTTTTAGACAGATTAATTCAAATTCAAGAGTCCAAAACTGATTATGACCATCACTGCCACATGCCAAAGAAAAGAAGAGAAGATATTTAAAGTGTTTTAGTCCAAAAGGATAGGCAAAATCAAGATCCAAATAAAGAGGTTTATTCACAGCAATTTTTTGACAGATTAGATAGAACTGAGAGCCCAAAACCAATTGTAACCATCATTGACATGCACCAAAGGGAAGGAAAGATAAAATATGCTAAAGAAAAATAGGTACACATATATATGCGTGACTATAGAAGAAATGACTAAGAAATCAATATGCCATCACTATACAATAATAAAACATAAAGACATAGTCACGACAACAAAGAGATTTTTTTAAACACTATAACAGACAATAGAAAGTAGAAGCAGCAAAAGTAACCAATACATTCAATATCAATAATAAATATTGAGAGCATATGGGTAAAAGTCTTCAACAGTAGCTGCAACGTTATGAAAATTGTCTTAAACAGGGAATATAGGCGAACAAAACACAGGTGAAAGAGACATAACTTAAAAGACTGAGCAATAAGTGGACGAAGATGGAACCGGGCAAGCAAAAAGGCAAAAATGTTAGAGCAAGTAAAAGAAAGGGGAAAAAAAGATATTCAGATACTTGTAAAGCAAAAAACTACAGACAAAATCAGAGTATGAAATCAGAATCCACATAAGTAAAAATACATTTGGGGCAATTTCTGAATAAATTACATGGCAGCAAACTGATAAAAATGGATTGCAGCAATCATTAGCATAGATTGAAACCAAGGATGAACAATGTTAAGTAAAAAGAGATATATATATATATATACTGCTATAATGTAGATAAACAGCATGAAGAAAGACAATTATACATGACTAAAATTTGTTGACACTGAAAAGAAATAAATTGTTGTCAGCAATATAGGATGCAATACAAACCAATAGCAATATGACAAATTAATATCTTCAGCATCAACAGACATTAAAAACATATAGACAAAAGTCATTAATATTACCTAAAATATTGCAACACCTGCTTTAAATAGGAAATGTCAGCTAACCAAACAGGAGTGAAAGAGACAGGTAAAATAATGGAGCAGTTAAAAGGGCAAGGTAAAGCACAACAGTAAATGATCAACAATGGAGTGGGTGAGGGAAGATGTTAGATGTAAAACAAAACCGCGGACACAATTTATACAATGAATTAATATATAGTAGCAGGATCTTCTATATATATAAAGAGGAAGATAACCAATGATAATAGCACATGTAACAGTTGGAAGTCGGTGTAAAAAGAGTGCAAAAAAAAAATTCCAATTAAAACAAATGATAAAAGAAGTGTAGGTCTAAAAGCAGAAAAGAAAAGGGGAAAAATCCCAAGCAATAATCAGTACACAAAGTAAAAAAAAAAAAAAAAAGAGCAAAAAAAAAAAAAACAGGGATTTTTTTTTTTATTTTTGGTAAATTTCCTAGAGACTCCAGACAATAAAAGGAAAAAGAATCTCCAATTCATTTAATGCTTCTGGAACAAAAACGGGACACACCATCAACGTAGAAGTACAAATCAACAGCATAGGTATTACAGATCATCACTATAGATCAGTAAGTAATTAAATGCAAACGAAACTGATTTAGGCAGAATCCAAGCACAAAGTCGGTAAAAAAATCCCAAACAATAATCAGTATGGAGAGTAAAAAAAGTTTAAAAAAGAGCAAAAAAATACAGGGATTTTTTTATTTTTGGCAAATTTTCTAGAAACTCATGACAATAAAATGAAAAAAAATCTCCAATTTATTTAATGCTTCTGGAACAAAAACAGGACACACCATCAACGTAGAAGTACAAATCAACGACATAGGTATTAGAGATCATCACTACAGATCAGCAAGTAATTAAATGCAAAGGAAACTAATTTAGGCAGAATCCAAGAACAAAGTCAGCAAATACAAAAATGCATAGAAGGAAGGAAAAAATGCGAGATTTACCTATAAAAATCAGCCACGGGGAAGATCCAAGCATGCACATGTAAATCCCTTTCTAGCCAAATGAATAACCTATTAGAAGAAAGACAACACTCGAACAAAAGTGGATTATCATCAGTAAAAGGGAAAAAACTCAACATAAGAAATAGCCATAAATTTTAAGGAATTAAAGAAATACCGATGAATCCCTCTTTTTTATTAAAAAAAAAATTCCATAGAACCCTAAATGTTTACACCAACAAGAACAAAGGAGACCATACAAAATCCTAAATCAAAACAACGAAAGGGCAACAGAAGACAATGAAGGAAAAAAAAAAGAGTGCCGTTACAGCAAGATAGAGAGAAACAAAGGAAAAGAGTTATTTCGGAAGAGTTCAAAGACAGTTGAAAGCTAAGCTCAAAGTCAACTTCTCAAGAAAATTTACAACCTTCGGTTTAAAATTCTTTAGTATAGCATGAATGAAAATAGAGGAAAAACATAAAAATAACTCTTTGCCAAGTCGCTCCGTAACAAAAGTGGCAACTTGAGCATAGTCCAGATTCAAAGCAACCAAGCTATTCTTTCCACGCTTTCCAAACAACATGTTAGGTTTAACAACCACTTTGGAAGACGAAAGCCAAGGCTCATTGTTTGCTAACTCATTGAGATCGGTTGATTCGGTAATCTATGGCATAACAAAAAAAAATCACAATTTAATCAGCAAAGCTAGACACAAACACCAATCCAGAAAATTCTTTTCTAAAAAGAAAGAGCAAATAAAAACTCTTTAATGGCTGACGAAATCAAAATTCTAAATTCTAATTCTGAATACGATAAACTATACCTTCCTAATCCTAAATATATAAGATAAATAAATTGTGTTCACAATGAAGAAATGCACAAACAGAACCAGAGTAATCAAATCCTGACAATTGAAGTGAGATCAAGTCACCATTACAAAAATGCAATGAAAAAAGCTAAAAGAGGCTTAACATTCGAGGTCTATAAGCTAAACAGGAACAAAATCTCAGAAAAAAAAAGTAAAAAAAATCAAATACTAACCTGAGCGGATTTGATTGGCAATTCACGGCCAGAGAGCCTCTTGAAATGCTCATTCAACAATCTCTTTGAATCATACTCTCTGATCTTGCGTGCCATTTCACCACCTGAAAATTTTTCACCAAACCAGAAAATTTCGTTTCAAATTGATACCAAACCAGTCAAAGCAATCTTATTCTGCAAAAAAATTCGAACATAAACTAACCAAACTCGAACCACAAAAGCACAAAGCCATGAAAATACCAAAAACGAAAACCAAAATGAAGATCTAAAACAGCAAAAATCGCAGTTTGAGAAGTGCAAATCATTGTTTAGAGAGAATCTGAAGAGCTCTGAGTTGGGAAGATATTAGAAAACAAAAAACATTCAATTTAGAAAGGAAAAAGGACAAAGGAGATAACTCATAATCAAACGGAATGAAAACTACAGAAAAAAATACAATATAACTTAAAACCGTAAATAAGCTGCAATAAGATAGGGATTTTTTTCTTTTTCTTTTTTTTAGCCAAAAAGAACTATCTTTTTACAAAAACTTTTAGTCAAAAACAATTGGTCAATCGGAATCCAAGTAAGAAAGATTTATGAGTGAATAAGGCCTCGTTCACTTCGCTGATTCGAGTTTAGAATTCGAGTTGAGATGTGATTTTATGTGAGAGCTTTTTACACTGTAGCAAAAAAGTTAGATGTGATTGTTTGTGAGAGCTTTTTACTGTAGAAAAACTCGAATTAGCGAAGTGAACGGGGCCTAAGTTTTCCATAAATAGTAATAACAAAAATTGAATAATACCAGAATAAGGAACAAAAACATAAGATAAATAAAATAAATAAATAAACAAAATCACGATAAAGTGAGGAAAGCATAATCACAGCAATTTTTGGACAATTTACATAAAACTCAAGATGTGAAATTTAATAACTGTCATCGTCACATTAAAAAATCAATTAAAACAAAAATATGTCATATAAAGACACACACATATATATAGTACTAAAGAGTAAATGACCAAAAATCAATATCATGAGAAGAAGCAGCAGAAAGATAAAGAGAATAATCAAGAAATTTTAGGTAAAAAGAATATAGGAAATCAAAATTCAAATAGAAAAGATACATTCACAACAGTAAAATACATACATATATGAGAAACCAATAAACAGGAAGTCAATATCTTAGCAATATTGATTAACAATGATGTAGGATCCTTCTTAAGGACTATAAATTACTAATATTTATTAAAAACATAATAAAAACTTATATGAACAGAAATTATAAAAAATAAACAACACATGTTAACAATATTACAGCAGACCAATACATTCAATATCAGCAGTATATATTAAAAAACTGCAGATAGAAGTTATTGATGGTACCTGAAATCTTGTAAATGCTGCCTTAAATACAAAATGTGGGCCAACCAAACTTTAACCAAGTTAGTAGAAAAACATAAGGATATAGAGGTAGAGGAGTAAATGATGGAAGAGCAATAAATGTTTAGAAGTGAAGTAGGGCAGTAAATGATCGGAAGGGGAATGCAAAAGAAAAAAAAAAAAGAAAGGTCAAGTACTGGAAGAAAGACCAGCAACACACAGAATAAATCCATATTCAACAGCAGTACATATTAATAAAGAACAAAAGAACCTACTTAAAACACTTGATAGCCTATAACAATACACGTCATATCAAAGAATGAGTCTAAGATTCAAGAATTAAAAATCTAATTAGGTAATAAGACCAATATATTATTACAATCAGAAAGTGAGAAAGGAAAAGAAAATTGAAAAAAGTTAGATAATAACCATTTAAGAGGAGAGGAAATAAAAAAAAAAGGCCAGGAAAAAAAAGAGAAAGAAACTAAACAATATTTTTTTCCCAATTATTTTCCATATTTCAAATAATTTAAAAAAATTCCCAATTAAATTAACATGTCTAAAGCCAACACAGTACAGATGATTAGGCTAGGAAGACAAATCACTAATCTATATATCACATATCATCAACTCATTAAATGCAAGGAAAAAATCTGGAGAACAATGGATAAGAAACACATCTAAGAATAAAAAAATACATACCTCAGTCGAAGGAGAACAATGGATAGAACAGACAAAGCACAACAACGAAACTTCAAATATTGGTAAAGAGAAAGAAAACCAAAAAGGTATAAGAAGATATATTATAATAGTGAGAAAAGGAAAATAGAAAGAAAACAAAAAACCGTCCTAATAAAAAAAACATAGTTTATATACAAAGATAAGATAATTCTGCTGATAATCTGATAACAAAACCAACAAACAAATATCAACGGGTATAATGATTGATTAACAACAGGTGTCAAGAAGCATGTAAACCACAGGGAAATAGAACCAATAATAAAAAAGCACAAAAATTAACATTCCGATTATACAGATTTATAACATGATAAAAATACGTATCAATAGAGAATATAAACACAACAACATAGTAGCAACTCTCCAGGACCATAAAGAAATAACCATATGAAGAATAAACCATCCAGAAAATAAGAGAACGATAATACACAAACGCTAAAAAAAAAAAAAAGAGAAAAACTAAGCAGGGAAAAAATAGAAAGCATAATGAAAAAAGTTTGAGAACGAAACCATAAATTTGAAAATAAAACCACAAAAAAATCAAAGCAAACCACAAAAAAAAAAAATCAGAGAACGAAAAACAAAGGAACAGAAGCTAAAGAATTGAGAAACAAAAAAATTTCAAGATCATAGAAATTGTTCAAGCTAAAGAACTGAACAAAAAAGTCCAAATCTCAACCCAAGATTAAAGCTTTTTTTTTTTTGCTTGAACATGATTTCAACTTAATTAAGCAGAAATTAACCAAAGAAATTAAAAACTTTACAATCACAAAAGTGGACTTCAAAGTTTCTTTCGATTATAATGATATGAATGCAAATGACAGGAAAAAAAAAAATAAATACAAATATCATTTTCCTTTAGTTTCCTCAGTTTTTCCAAAATCCAAATCAAGCTCATTTTTCTAAACCACAAAACAACAGAAGAATTAGCTGAATATCCCGATCAAGATCCAAATTTCATAAAATCTCAAAGCCGAAGACACAAAATGCGCAGAGATCGAAATCCCAAACCCAAAAGAACTACAAAATTACACATCTCAAAGTTCATATTCCATTCCTGAAATGCAGAAAACTAAAAAAAGAAAAATTAAAGCACACCACTAACAGTTTTATTAAAAAAAAAAAAGAAAAAAAAACTTACTGAAAGTTGAGCAGAAATAGTGGAGGCGAAGAAGACAACCCATATCTTCACGTGTACTTTGGAGCTCGAGCTAAATGAAGCTCGGCAAATCGTGAATCACACTGTACCAAAAGCACAGACAGAGAAAAACGCAATTTTTTTTTAAAGTTATGTACTTATTTTGCTAAGTGGAGAGAAAGAGTACTAAAGTGAAAGTTTTCTACGGTTTGCCAAATAAAGAATTCAGAGAAGAGAAAGAGAAGAAAAAAAATTGTTCTTCCAAGGAAGGCAAAAACATGAAGAACGAAATCATAGAAATGAATTGGAAAAAAGGAAAGAAAATTAAAACCTTGTCATTGAACCACATCCGATCGTGATCAAAAAAGGGCTAACGGCGACAGTAGTGGTGGTGCAGAGGTAAGCATCGGGGACGACGGAGGAGAGAAAATCGCTCGAGAGGCAGGAAGAGAAGAAAAAAACAAGAATAGAGAAAAACCCAAAGCTTCTACGATGAAGCTTCTATTTCTTTAAGCTAGAAAAAACCCAGAAGCTTCTGCAAAGAAGTAGAGAGTAAAGCCAATGAAAGAGGACAACGGAAAGACAAAAAGGCCCAAACCAATAAAAAGACACAAAAGGCCACGGGCATAAGAAGGAGAAGAGGGGAAAGCAAAAGGACGAAACCGGGAAAAAAAGAAAAGCAAAAGGGCAAAATCAGAAAAGCAATCCATCAGACACGCAGTAAAAGACCAAACCGCCCCTGCACCAGACAAAGAAGGGAACAGTAAATTGAGAGTAAAAGCGCATTTCATTGTAGAAGGAATAGTAAATTGAGTCTTGATAGAACACTTACATCTACATTCTCTGCATTTTAACCCTCTATAAGCTCAGTTGTGCATTACTTATAGTATTAGATCCTTCAAAATCACCTAAACAAAGATTAAATAAAGTAATTTTAGTGTGCACAGATGGTCTTGAACCTTCTTGGTTTGAAGTGTATCAAGTTGTTTGTGCAATTCTTCAAGCTTTCTCAAGTATAAATCAGTTTCTGACACAAGTAGACAAAGATACCCATCTTTATAACCCAAAGAACAAATATCTTTATAACCCAAAGAACAAATAAAATCTAAACTTTAGAACAATGCTAACTGCAAAAAGTAAAAAATAAAAAAAATAATGCCAGGATTTATAGAAAGAACATTGACGACCTTCCTCATTCTTTTAATTAAGTACTCAGGGACCAGAGTACTCTCTTTAGTAATTTATCAAACTACTGACAATTTTTTTATTGAAGAAAAGATAACACCATCAGATGATAAGGAAGAATAATAATAAAAAAAAAAAAAAAAAAAAAAAAGAGAACTATTTTTTTACCCATGAAAGTCAAATCTTTAAAGCTGGATAGCTCACCTAGTCAATGTCTGGCTGAGCACTTCTCTTGCCTTTTACCAGAGGTAGAGTACATATGGGAATATAGATAGAATAGGAGCATTTTTTGTAATAAGACATTCAAGACTATCATCAGGACAATGAGAAAAATTGGAATGCAAAGAATAAAAGTTATAATAGGTAAACAGACACACACAACTACACTATTCTTTGTAAGAGTAAAGCAACCCCATATACTATTTCAATCCAAATCCAAATACAACCAAATTAGAATACAAAGAATATGCAATTAGTCCCAATCAACAAACAGACTACACAGAACATAAACATCGGGGAAGAAAAAAGAAAAAAAATAGAGATGAAGTGTCATCCAGTTCATAACATTGTCTATTCTAACATAGCTAAAACCATCTAGAAGCAAATAGGGATACCAAAATTCTACATTTCAAATATTAATTCAAAATCTAGTATTGTAGAAATAAAAATAAATTAATTATTACATTGGAAAGAGTCTAATTCAAATTGAGCAGCTTACATAGATTGGTTTGGTTGAGAACTTTTGTTTCTTTTGTTTCTCCTTAGAAACTCGGCTTCGTTGGATGATACCAAATGTGTTTAAAATAAGAGACGTATTAGAAAATAGGATTCAAAAAGACCATATTAAGATTTGGATATCAAAGAGAGATTACCTAGTTTTTGAAAAAGGGATTGGAACTGGTAACACAAATCATCTTATTTTATAGGGTGGTCGTTGTTCTGAACCAGTCACGGAGAGGATCCAATGAGAGCTTCTGTCGAGGACGAAGAGAGTGATACGGAGGCGATGGATACAAAAGTAGAGGGGATGGAGTTTGAAGGTTGCGGGGAGAAGAGAGGCAAACAAAAGGGGTAGCTTGGATTCTGACTTGGGGCTTAAAAAAATCCAAGCATTTTACACAAACATGACTTCAGCGACAAAAACGTAAACATAGTTAAAAAAAAAAAAAAATCAAAATCGCAATCTAACCTAGGATCATAGAAAAAGAAATCCCCAAAATTAAAAAGCATTAGAAGAGGAGAAAAAAGCAAACCTGTAAAGGTGAGTAGAGGAACAACATCAGAGAAGCCATGAATCTGCAAGAAGATAAAATGAGAGAGAGAGAGAGAGAGAGAGAGAGAGGAAACGCAGAGGAATAGAACGAAATCAAAAAATGAGTGCACAGCTTTCCCTTTTCCTCTTAAACTTAGAAGTTGGAAGAGACACAAAAGGCCACGGGCATAAGAAGGAGAAGAGGAGAAAGCAAAAGGATGAAACCGGGAAAAAAAGAAAAGCAGAAGGGCAAAATCGGAAAAGCAATCCATCAGACACGCGGTAAAAGACCAAACCGCCCTGCACCACACAAAGAAGGGAACAGTAAATCGAGGGTAAAATCGTCATTTCACTGTATAAGGAATAGTGAACTGAGTCTTGAACCCCAACTCTTCTTTAGATGATTTATACTATATATATACACATATACGACTGGCTTTCTCACCTAGAAACAGTACAAGTAGCCGTTTCCAGAAAAATTATTCCCAAATTTTGGAACCCCCTTCCCTCTCTTTCTCTCTCCTCCCTCTCTTTCTCCTCTCTGTCGCCCACCTCTTTCTCTTTCTGCCTCCTCTCTCCGCCGCCCACTCTTCTTTTTCTCTCTCGTCGTCGCTTCGTCGCTCCTCTCTATCTCTATCTAGCTCCTTTCCCTGAGCACGACGGCGTTCGCGAGGAAGTCGGGCCTCACTGTCGCTGTTGCAACGCCGACTAGCGCCTTGTTTTTCCGCGATGGCAAGACGGCCTTCTACAGCCATGGCGACGTCAAAGAACTCCGGTTGCAGAATGGCGTGAGAAAGAAATCAGGAGAGGGAGAGCAGGGGCTGGAAACGTATTGAGGGATGAGGATTTTTTTAGAAATTTTAGAATTTTTATGCGATTGATTCCGTCTCCTCAAAATTCTGCTACTAATTTTTATTGCCTTGCTCAAATATGCTATTTCCTTACTTTTCCCCCTTTTTTTTTGTTAAAGATTCTTTCATCGCCTTAAAATTAGGGTTTCAAGCTCTGGTTTTCAGGAATTAGGGTTCCCTTTTTTCGAGGTCATCAGGAATTGGTGCGTCTATGATAAACGCAAACAGCCATCGATAAATGCTGATCGGCGCCACCGTTTACTGTCTATAGTGACCAAGGATTTTCAGTTGATGTCGTCGGTTATCGTTGGTCTCTCTGGCATTGATCGTCCTCATACTTCCCTGATATGTTCTGTTGCTGGGAAAGGTCCGATAAACTCTATTATAAGTTTTTGAAGTTTTGATTCCTAAATGTTATTTTGATTGAATTTCTCTTGTTAATTTCAAGTGCTTGTTTTTTTATTGTTTCTACAGAGATGGTGGATGCAATTATCAAGAATGAGACTGCAGGGTATGTAAAGATAGATACAAAGGCTCCTTTAGTGAAAAGTATGCCTTCTTTCCAGGTTTGCTTCTATCTTCTCTCCTGATGCTTATTTATTCGTTGTTTTATTTTGGGTATTTTGTTAGTTTTGCTTTTGAATTCAAGGGTGTTGAAAAAGAAACATTTGGATTTATTTATGCTCTAAATCACCAACCAAATGAATATTGGTTCATTATCTGCTCAATCAACATTTATTATTCAAATTGCAAGGTTCAAAATGGATGTCGTCCATAATCTAATGATCGGCTTTTTTTTTTTCCTTTTGTTTTTCGTTTCAAGTCACGTTTTTTTTTTTCCCTCCTAACTACGTATTACGAATTTGGAATTACATAAGGAAGAAATGTATTCTTTTCACTGGTAATTACATGGAGGTGAAATTGAGTGGGGGAGAATTTACACATATATACCCGTGTGTGATGTTGGTTTCTTATGAGGGAAACATTGTTGTGTTAATGTTTTTTCAATTCCTCACTATATTTTTTATCCCCTCAAGATTTTTATTACCTTGATAGTTATCGTTCTACACTTTCCTAGGGATTAAATTGGAATGGGATAAACGCTTGGCTGAGAAGCGAGAAGCTGAGCTAGGCTGCAAAACATAGAACTTCAAAAGGACAAACCGTTTGTACGGAGTAGGTAGATTCTACCTATATAATAGGTCCTTAATTTTATTTATTTGTTGTCATGTTGTGTGGACGTTGCACAAGTGTCGCTCCTGCTCAATTTTAATAGCTTAAACTTGGTTTTTTATTAGTCCATTTAGATTTAATAGCTCTGGTTGTGACAATGCTTGTGTCGTTTTCCGAATAATGTTGTTTGTACTAGCTGTTACAATATTTCTTGCTATAGCAGTAGTATGAAAGCACTCTTAAGGACTTAGAACCATTGATCCTAGGTTACACTCCAATTAGATGAGAGACAATATACATTTTAATTTTTCCATTGTTCACCTTCCATTATCAATATTTCATGCGTATTTTTTAAAGTTTAGTTCAACTTATTAATTCCTTAAATGCTACTTATTGAGGTTTGGATAGTAGAATAGCTTTGTACATAAAATTGTTTCTACAAAAAACTGCTAATAATATTATTAGTTAATAAGTTAAGGTGTAGGTTTAGTTACGTTTTTCTAAACGTTTAGGAAAGAAATTAAATTTTGATTCTTTTCCTGACATACCTCTCTATCTTAATTATTCTTTTCCCATTTTCTAATTGGTCAAAGAAAATATCCATAAAAGTCTTATTTTGAGTTTCTTGTGATGGTTTAAACTGTATATCTCTCATTGTTTGGAACTCTTAAAGATGTTGTTTTGTTAATCTTGTCAACGAAGAACCCAACGTTTGAAAATTACAATGTGGCTAAGGTACTGCCTTGTCTTTCTGAGATATGTTTCTTTTATCATCTTTTGTTTTGGGCTGTGATTCATAGTATTTTTACTATACTTGTGCACTATCTGTTAATTTAAACACTAGTGATTGTTTTTTAATTTTTCACTCAATTTGAATTCACATTATTGTTTTTTATGAAATCTATTGTTTGTAACTTTGATGGCTTGCTATTTGTTTTGTGTCTATGTTTATTTATCCCAATGAAAGTGATTTCACTTTTACTTTTTCTTATTGTTATCTGACTTTATATAACTTCTCATAGTTTTTTAATTCTCTTTTAATTGATCATTATAACCCTTTCATATTTACAATGTGTTTGGTAGGGTGGAAAAGAGAGAGGAAAGAAAATAGATGAAGGATTTTAGAGAGGAAAATGGAATTTTAGGTTGTTTGGTAGAGAGGAAATGTGGAAGGAAGGAAAATGAAAATCCATGGGGCCCACTAATTTTTAATCCTTCAAACTTTGGGAAGAAAAGAGGAGAGAAAAAGTTGGACAAACAAATGAGGTGTAAAATAACAATTTTAACCTTCACCATTCATCATATTTTTATTTGTATTGGGGTATTATTGTAAAATGCCTTAGATTTGATATTTTCTTTTCACTTTCTCTTCTACCAAACAACATGAGAGAAAATCATTTTATTTCCTTCACCTATGTATTTCACTTCTCCTTCCTTCCTCTTTTCTATCCATCGTACTAAACATAGCATAAGTTATCTGTATCTTCATAAACATTGTTCTTATTAATTAATATATATGTTTTTTCTATTGTTATCTGAGTTTATGTAACTTCTCATAGTTTTTAATTCTCTTTTAATTGATCATTATAACCCGTTCTTATTTAGTTATCCGTAGCTTCATAAACATTGTTGTTATTAATTAATGTATCTGCTTTAATGTGTTTTTCTTATTGATATTCAATGCTTGTGCTGATATTTTTTTTAAGGGAAAGAAATTTACTTCTTACACATTTATATTAATCTTTACCTTTCTTATGTAGTTTTGTTTTATAAGAAATTCTAAAGCCGTAGCATATTCTGTTCTTTCTTTGGTTCTGGATTTATTTATCTTTAATAATCTCATTCTTGGAAAATGTTTCTTTGCAATCCTCTACAGATCATCGGGTTTAATTGTGTGATCCATCAGGGTTTTCATGTAGTTCATACTTTCATTCCTTTAATCAATATTCCAAACAACCCTTCTTTTGAACCATTTAATTTTGTGTGGAAATCTTGTGCTCCTTATAGGGTGAAGGTTTTTGTTTGGTTATTTTATCACAGAAACTGAATACTTGTGATTTGGTGCAAAGAAAACATCCCAATTTTGCATTATCTCCTAGCTGTTGTGTTTTTATGTAAGGCAGGTCAAGAAACAATGGATCACTTATTCCTCCATTGTGCAGTTGCTCGTTCTTTATGGTGCAAACTTTTGAGGTCTGTAGGTTTTAAGTTGGGTTTTTCCCGCTTAAAGCATTACTATCGGTATGGAACAATCTTTCGGTTTTGAAAGTGGAAAGAAAGCTAAGGTGATTTGGAAGGCTGCTAAAATAGCAATCATTTGGGTGCTGTGGTTAGATCGTAATCAGCGGATCTTTGAGGAAAAGGAGGTGAGTTGTGAGGATCTTTTTGAAAATGCTAGATTCTTGGCTTCTATTTGGGCATCTACTGATCAAGCTTTTAAAGACTTCTCTCTATTTTTGATATTGTTAAGTTGGGAGGATATCTTGGTTTAAATGTTTTGAGTTTTGTACCGAGTGTTTTTGTGTGTTTCGTTTTCTATTCTGTTGTATTTTTTTATGGTGTTTTTGTGTCTATTTTGGTTTTCTATTCTGTTGTATTTTTTTTATGGTTCCTCATCCATCTATTCAATAATAAAATTCTTCAATTTCTTATAAAAAAAAAAAGTTTCATTTATACAATATTCTTCTCTATGTAGAAGCTATAATGGTCATTGAAACAGCTTTCTCTGTTCTTATATTGCTGCAATTTCACGTCAGCACGAAAAAGTGAATAACATTTGATTTCTTTTGAGAAAAAGGAAAATGGCTTGTTATAGTCATTTATAAGAGAGGTTTTTTTACATTATATATATATACTCTTTTTTTAAAATTTTATTGGGGCACTTGCAAGATAAGTTTCAATTTTCAATTATCAACTTTTCTAAGAATATCAATATATTTTAGTACTCATCTAAAGTTATTCTTATTCTCAGGTTTTGTGGTGATTGCATCCTCTTCAAGAAGACTTGGATTCTATTGATGTAAATCTCCATTTGTGGAGTGTGATGCATTAACAATAATCCAAACTATGAATAATTTTTCTACCTTTCATGATGAGTTTGGAGTGTAATTGTTAGATACATCTAGCTTATTATCTATTTCTGCAGGATTTAAGTTATGCCATACGTTTAGAGAAAGTAATTTGGTTACCCACTAATTGGCTACTTATGCTCTTAATACAGATGATGAGCTAATTTGGTTAGAACAGTCTCCTTCTTCTATAGTAATTGTTATTGTATCAAACACCTTTTGTTTATTATAACTTCTATATTGTCAACAAAAAAAAAAAAAAATTTTGTTGCTCTGAAATAAAGCGAGTTACTTACTAACATTCATATCTGTGGTTCTTTTATTTCCTTTTCAGATTGGTCCCTTGTGGAGGTGCTACTTCCAAAACACGTAGGGTCAGTCCTGGACAACAATGACAGAGACCGTATTTTTGAGCAAATGGATGGGTTGCATAGGATGCTTAATGAGGTATGTGGCTATTCAGTTCACTAGGTGTTTTGTTTTGTACATATATAGTATATAAATAAAAGTGTGTTTATTTTCTACGCAATTGGTAGAAAACTTGCATAGTAGTACTTGTCATGTTTGCTAAAGAAAATTTGCGCACCATCTGTTAGTTTAAACACTTGTGATCATTTTTTATTTTGAACTCAATTTGAATTCACATTATTGATTTTTTATGAAATCTATTATATGTAACTTTGATTGCTCGCCATTTGTTCCATATCTGTGTTAATTCATCCCGATGAAAGTGATTTGACTTTTACTTTTGCTTATTGTTATCTAAATCTATGTAACTTCTCATAGTTTTAATTCTCTTCTAATTGATCATTACAACCCTCTTATATTTAGTTATCCATATTTTTATAAGCATTGTTGTTAATAATTGATATTATATTTGCTCTAATGTGTTTTTGTTATTGGTGTTCAATGCTTATGCTGATAGGTTTTTTTACACATTGGATTCAACCACACCCATTCTCTATGTGGAAGCTTTAATAGTCATTCAAACTGCTTTATCTGTAATTCAATTGCTGCAATTTCCTGTCAGCAAGAAAAAGTAAATGACATTTTTTTTTTGAGAAAAAGGAAAATAAATTGTTATAGTGAGGTTATAAGAGCTGTTTTTTGAATTTGAATTCTATGAGGTTTGGTTAGAAACTTATCTGGTTTAATTCTCAGCTATTAAAAATGCCAGGGTGGTTATATTTTTGTAACATCCAGAAAATTAGGATATAAATTAAGAGTGAAATTATGTAAGTTGAGATTATTAGTGTGCCAAATCAAATACCTGATAGTGATTATTCATATTTTTATAGATGAAATTTCATTGATCTATATCATTTCCATGTTTTAGGAAATTTTCGTTTTCGATTCACTATTCTTCGATGTTTATAATTTTGACCCCCCAAAAAATGTTGCAATTATGTCACTTTGTATATTTGCTGAACACGTGAATCTCTGAAGTCCATTGACATATGGTGCGTAGTTGCTATTTCCAAGGCACCGTTTAACCCACTTTGAAGATTATCTCCACATATATATATGATACCAAATTAGTTGAGTTATGTTCTCCATTAGCTTTCTCTCTTTCTCTTTTTTAACCCTCTGCAGCAAATAACCTGACCTAAAACACTTGGAAACCAGCGAAATTAAACCACAAGTGTTAGAAATTTGGTGAAGTGTTGCTCTATCCTCTAGAATTGATTGGAGTTGAGGAAAACTTGAAGAAATTGTTGAGATTCCTTCAAAATCCAACTCTAAGGTCAGGTTATTCTACTGAAAATTTTAGCTTTTACTATGTTTTTATGAAAATGAATCTGTATCTTGATTCTCTTCTTGATTTACAAATATTAATTACAATTAACCTATGCTAAGTGTTTTTTAGACATGAGAGACGTTTGTCAAGGTTTGAATTTCTTCTTGAAACTTTTCTTT